TGCAATGTAAAGTTTTCAGAGGGCAGCAGGGACTGTTTCAGCCCTTTATGTGGTATTTTGGATTAAGAATCTGAGATTATTGATTAACTGGGGCTGAGCAATCAGCTGTGATTGACAAGGGCCCAGCTCTGCCGAAGTGAAACTGTCTGGGCTTCCCGGGACCACGGATGCTGGTCATCTGGGGCTGAAAATGGAACTGATTAGTAAGAGTCCAGCATCATCCTCCGTGCTTCATCTGACAACGAGGCCAGCACACAGAAGCTGTCATCCAACCGGGCCAAGCCTGCATCTAAAGCTGGCCCCTGGACTTGGCAGCATCAAAAAGACCTTTATGTGGCACCGGTTTTGAAGCTGCAACTGAGGCCTGACCCCGTGTGACATGGTTGGAGCCCCTATGGGGAGGCCAAAAGAGTCCTGTGGGGAAGGTGCAGCTCCGCTTGCAGTGAAGATCCCGGGGTGCCCCGGGATGTGGTTATCGCGGGGTGACTGCCAGTGAAGTGGCAGGCGTGAAGTGGAGCTAGCCTGAGAGACAAGCTACATGTGCTGCCAATAGCAGAGCCGGAGAAGCAGGACTGTCTGAGAGAGCACTGTCTGTTGCGTATAGTTCTGGGGGGGGGGGGCAGAACTACCTAAGCCCTTTGACCCCCCCCCCCCCAACTGCGCTGTAGCGCCTGCACTAGGGGATGGTATGCGAGCCGGGAACTAAGCTGGAGACTTAAACACACACACACACACACACACACACACACACACACACACACACACACACACAGAGACAAGGGGACACGGGTCATCCATGATACAAGAATGCCAAGTTTATTGTGCTCCAGGGAAGCGTAATTAGGGATCCTTAACTGATAGCCACATCCCGGCTATCGGGATCTTTCAGCTGCAGGCCTGACCAGAACCCACTCCCCCACTCCCCTGCCATCAGGGTCTCGTGCTCAGAGCAGCTGCAGGCACAGGGGTTTTGCTCCGTTCACTCCAGCAGGCAAAGGGTCTGAGGTGGGCAAAGAAAGTCAAGGGGCCAGGGGTCTGCAGCCCCCAACACTGGGCATGGAGTTACAGCACTTGGTGTTTTCCCTGCTCTCTTTCAGCCTTGAGTCTAATCTTTCCCACGCCTCCACTCCTCTCTTTTGGAATGGGAGCGTATGCTACAAGCCCATTTATGTTTAGAGCTTATTGGTCTCAGAATTTTAGGCTAAGAATAATTGCCTTCTTATTCATAAATGGCATTTTAAATAACTTTTGAGTTTGAAGAATTCATAACGTGTTGGGATTTCATACAAGTCGTTTTGGGACAAAAAAGAATGAAGTTAAATCTGGACATCAACATGAATTATTTAAGTAAAAGTAAATAAGGGCTCTATAAAAGGAGCACGGTGAAACCAATGCCCATGTCATCTTTATTGTCTCGTGTCTTGTGGTGGCACCACTGCAGTCCTCTGTCGGCCTGACACCCTTAGCAGAACTAGAGAAGACTTAAAAGCAAAAGCAGATGCAATTCTGTGAGAGCCCTCTCTTCATAATAAGAGCTTGGTATCTAAGGCTAAAAACTAATGTCAAGATGGGAAAATGGCTGGCTGCATATGCAGCCAATAGTTATAACCCGGAGTTTAGAAGGGGCTCTTACAGATTAATAAGCAGAAGAGTGTTGGGGGCTGCAGACCCCAGACCCCTTGACTGTCTCTGCCTGCCGCAGACCCTTCGCCTGCTGGAGTGAACGGAGTAAACAACTTGTTTTCCTGTGCCTGCAGCTGCTCTGAGCACGAGACCCTCACGAGTTCCTGATGGCAGGGGAGTGAATTCTGGTGGGTTTTACAGCTGAAATCCCAAGAGCTGGGCGTGGCTAGCAGTTAAGGATCCCTATATAAGCTTCCCTGGAGCACAATAAAGATGGCATTCTTGTTTCAAGGATGACCCGTAGTCCCTCTCTGTCTCTGTGTGTCTTTGTATGTGTGGATAAATCTCTAGACTAGTGCCGCGAACCATACCGTAGCGTGTAGAGCAGACGCTGTGCTTTACAGAAGAGGAATTGTTCAGATAAAAACGGGACACAAATATGTGAGAACAGTATAGCCACAAATGGCTACCAGCAACACCTTACTATTCTGACTGAGACCCTCACTACCTGTCATTTACTGCTTGCCTTGGGCTAAGAGCTTCATGTTGGCACCCAGTGAAGTACTGTAATAGGCGTATGAAGTTCCGAAGATGCTCAAGGGGAATGGCTAACTGGCGCCAATGGGCATACAAAGTGTATGCTGGCCTCAGGGTCTCTCTGTTACAGAATCCATGCTGTTGGCATCCTGGCACCTTTCAGCACGTCTCACCCCACCTCCTACCCTGAACCTCCCTAGCTCAGGGACTTCCCTTCCCTTCCTCCAGTTTCTGATTCCTACAGAACCCAGCCATTTTGGCCACAGGCTGTGTTGGTTCTTCTCTCTTGGTTTACTTGTTCTCTCTCTCTCTTCCACTACCCCCCACCTCTTTTTATGGCTTAGTTCAGTCTGGATGTTTCCAGGTGCATCTGGCTATTGTCTCCTGCGTATCTACAATGAAACCCTTCTCAGCCACACCTTGGAGGCTCCAGGTCCTCGTTTTCATTCAAGGTGAAATGACTTACATTTTTTCAATTAGGAATTTCTACTCAGCGAGTTAAGGCAGTTTGTTCTCAGTCATGATGCTTTTATTCGGGCAGTTGGAACCTAAGATTGTCTGTCTCCAAAGTCCTTGTTCTCCAGGGCAACAGCAGTTGACTGCTTTTGTACTCGAAAGGATAATGCAGTGGAGGCAAGCAGAAGTTACTATTTTTCTCTCAGATTGGCATTTAAACACAGTACTTGTTCTGGCTATTTTTTATGTCAGTTGGCACAACTAGGGTCATTTGGGAAGAAGGAAATCTTAATTGAGGAAATGCCTCCTAAGGATTGGTCTGTAGGCAAATCTGTAGGGCATTTTTGTGATTGATGCTTGATGTGGGAGGGCCCAGTTCACTGCCAATGGTTCCACCCCGGGCAGCCAGGTGGTCCTGGATGGCATGGGAAAGCAGGCTGAGCAATCCACAGGCAGCAAGCCAGTAAGCAGCGCTCCTCCTTGGTCTCTGCTTCAGTTCCTGCCTTGCTCGAGTTCGTTGTGACTCCCTCATGACAGACCATTGCTGGGACAAGCAAGCTTTTTATGTTCGCATTTCTTTGAGAGTAATTGGTGGGTATCAGCTTACACAGACATATCGTGTCTCAGGTTTTCCCAAGAATTACAAGGCTTCTTCTTTCTTACCATGTTTAAAGGAATAGTTGGCCAGCTATTTGATTTGCAAACCCAATCAGTGTGAAGGCTGTGTTGGGTAAATGTCTTGACAGAAATGAGGAAGTTCTGTTGATCATGTTTGCTCAATCAGGAGATCAGCAAAGTTAGTTTTCTTTACTGAACTTATATCTCTATTACAAAATGAAATATCCTGATAGGATTTAGCAAAGTTGCCAGGGAGAGGTGATTGAGCTGATTTTGGTTTAGAGAAGATTTTTTTTTTTTTCTGACAGACTGTCATGTTAGGAACATCTCGAAAGGTTTGACATCTCCATAATCGATTGTAAAATGAGGTGGACTTGCTGGTGCATTCCTCTAATCTCAACACACAGGAGGCGGAGGCAGTAAGATCTCTGCAAGTTTGAGGCCGGACAGCAAGGGCTACATAGCAAGATTCTGACTCAAATAATTATAGACCAGCGAGATCCATTACTCATGGGGCCCGTGAGCAATTTACACAGTAGCTAAACATCATCTTGTCTACTCAAAGAACATTGCCTAGTGATAACAATTATGGGCTAATTAATATAGTGCCTTGGGGCTGGAGAGGGGGATCAGCAGATGAGAGCACTGGCTGCTCTTCCAGAGGATCTGGGTGTTGCAGAATCGTTCTTTAACTATACAAAGATATATTGCATTTGGTTAACTCGGTAAAGATGACTTGCATTTGTTTATGTTGCAGAATACTTGTTTAACTATGTAGAGATGTGTTGCATTTATTTAATTATATAGGATGTGTTGCTGTTTTACTTTGCCCACCTAAGGCAACTGATTGGCTTAATAAAAAGCTGAATGGCCAATAGCAAGAGAGGAGGTAGAGGTGGGACTTCTGGGCAGGGAGGGAATCGAGACACCAGGGGCCAGCCAGCCACACAGGGAGGAAGCAGGAGAGTAGGGCTTACAGAATGAAAGATAAAAAGCCTTTATGCAAATGTAGATGAATAGAAACAGGTTAAGAGAACCAGTGGAATAAGCCTAAGCTAAGTCTCTGTGTCCTTATTTGGGAGCTGGTTGGTGGCCCAAAGAAAATCCCAACTATACCTGTGTTCAGTTCCTGGTACCCACATGGCAGCTCACAACTCTGGTACCCTCACCCAGACATACATGTGGGCAAAGCGCCAATACACATAAAAACAAATCAAACAATAAAAATAGTGCCTTTTGAGATTCAGCTGCAAAGATGTGAGTTGTGTGTAAAGGTGGATTTGGAAGTAGATTGCTTCATTTCTTGTCGGATAGAGAAAGAAGCACACGTAGTGAAGAGCCTGGCTTTAGGGAACTCTCGAGGACATTTGGGGAGCAGAACAAGGGGGCAGTTGCAGAGAAAATGCTCCCTAATGGCTTTTTGAGGAGTACTTTAATGCAGTGGTTATTTAGAGATATCTTGAAGATACCATCTTGGCCCCACTCTTTCGTTTCGACATTCTCTTTTAGAGGGAACAAGTTGGAGTGTGATGTGTTTGAGCAGGGAAACTCTTGTTAGTGGTGGAGTGCATTTTGGGGTCAGACTGACCCGGGTTACAATTCAAATCTAGGCTCCATCACTTTAGTAGTGTATAAAACTCAGGCAAGTTTGAGCTTCTCTGAACTGAAGTGTTCTCATTTCAAATTACAAACTTCCCGAAGCCACTAACATTAAATGAGATATAAAGAACCGACAGAACCACACCAAATGCGCTGCAAGTGGCTGCTTCTGTCGTGGAGATTTATTTTAGAAGATGGCCTACTACGTGCAGCAGTACAGACTCCTGGTGCTGCCCCTTAACAACCCGTCATCTTGAGCACGTGGTTTCTGCTCCGAGCCTCAGGTTCTTGCCCATGAAATGGCATCCGTATTCTTTCCCTTGTCAGAACTTGTGAGATTAGAGGAAATATAGGTCAAGCTGCCAAGGTCCATGCCTGGAACAAAGTGAGTATTCAATGAATGGTTGTTGTTACAAAGCAGGTAAACACTGGGGACACCGTAGGTCTTGCCCTTTTTCCTTCCTGCCTCTGCTCTTGACCTTCAGCTGTCTCTTTAAGAAATCGCATGCACATAGTTAAGACTCCAGTACAGGGAATGCTTAGGAAATATTGTTCAAATTTACTGTAAAGAGGGGCTGGAGAGTGTTGGGTTGGATTTTTTAATTCTAGCCCCACACTGGAATGCCAAAATGTTGTTGGTTGTGTTTTTACTCTATTTACTCTTTGCTATTTTGGGGGCCCATCACTCAGCTCCCAAAAAATTCACACACACAGAGGCTTATTGTTACTTATAAATGCCGGACCCTAGCCTGGCTTGTTTCTAGCCAGCTTTTCTTAACTTATCCCATCTATCTTTTGCTTCTGGGCTTTTATCTTTCTCTATTTCTTTATTTTATTTATTTATTTACGTAGTTTTTGATTTTTTTCAAGACAGGGTTTCTCTGTAGTTTTGGAGCCTGTCCTGGAACTAGCTCTTGTAAACCAGGCTGGCCTCGGACTCACAGAGATCCGCCTGCCTCTGCCTCCCGAGTGCTGGGATTAAAGGCATGCACCACCACCGCCCAGCATCTTTCTCTTTCTGTATGCCTTTCTTTACTTCTTTCTCCACGGCTTGCTGTGTAGCTGGGTGGCTGGCCCTTGATGTCCTCCTCTCCTTGTTCTATTTTGCTCCTTCTTCTCCTAGATTTCTCTTTCTATATCGTCTCTCTGCCTGCCAGCCCCACTTTTCCTTTTTCCTGCCTCTCTATTGGCCGTTCATCTCTTTATTAGACCATCAGGTATTTTAGACAGTCAAAGAGTCACGGCTTCACAGAGTTAAACAAATGCAGCAGAAAAGGACGCAACACATCTTTGCACCATTGCACAAATGTTCCACAGCATAAACAAATGTAACGCATCTTAAAATAATATTCTACAACAGGAGAGAGTGAGTGCTCGGAGGTTATGAGCATTGGCTGCTCTTGCAGAGGACCCAGGATCAGTTCCCAGTACCTACATGGCATCTCACAATCGTCTATAATTCTAGTTTCAGGGGAGCTGATGCCCTCTTCTGGCTCTTGTGGGTACCAGGAATGCACAGCGTGCACAGAGATAATATAGACAAAGTAGACATACTCAAACTGATTTTCCTTGTGATGTTACACTTGCTCGAGAGACTGATAGTCACCAGCAGTGGTGGTTATAGTGGGGAAAGAGGTGTCTACCTTGGGCCTCTTGTGTCTTGGGAAGAAGTGTCAAGTGGAGCATATGATTGTTCCACCTCTAACTTCACAGATGTCACTGACATCTGACTGTGCTGCCCAACCGAGCAGCCAGCCCTGTGGTCGCTCTTGGAGGTACCCGGTGCTGGCTAAGCACCTGGTACGCACCATCTGCACAGCACACGCCCAGCAAATCTACTTGATAGGCACAATTAGCCTTCACTTAATTATACGCTTAAACCCAGATGTTTGGAGGCCGAATAAGAATGGCCCCCATAGGTTCGTATATTTCATAAAGAGGTTACAAAATGTGACCCAAAGGGGCTGGGGCAGTGGAGGGCTGCAGCTTAGCTGCCCATTGAGGGACCAGCGTAGCATGTTCAGTGATTTCCATTCGTGAACTGTTGCTGTATTCTGATAGGGGTATGCTCTGGAATCTTCTTTTTATGGTTCCTCAGATAAAAACAAAGCATTTACATATACTTAGGATGGTGATATTTTTCCTAAAGGCAGATGGAAGGCAGTGGCTACTATATACATATTGACTGTATAAATATATATTGCCTACTATATTGGTTACTGTATACATATTGACTATATAAATATATATTGTCACTATATTGACTACTGTATACATATTAACATTAAAGAACAAATTCAGACTTTGCCCTTTACTAATCAATGTCTAATAGGTGCAGTTTTTAAAGTCATTGGACATCGTCTGTTGTAAGAATGCTGCCCTCCTAGGGGTGGATATGGCCACAAAAGCAGGAGGATGGTCCGAACTGCATACAGTTCCCAGGCACACAATACAGTAACCAGGAGAAAAACAGGGGTGGCCCCACCTTGTCTACCCTGGCTGCCAGTCATTAAAGTGTCACTTTGGCTACTGGGTACCTTTTAAATCATGCCGGTTGCCCATCTTTGGGGCCTTCCCAGGCCAGGGATCTGGGTAGTCAGTTTATAGTTCTAGGAACCCGGCAGGACTGCTGTGTTAGCACTTGCTGGCTTTTTATGGAACAGGGGAATGTTGTTGAGGGAATCCAGGCAGCTGGAACCTGACACATTAGCAATTTGGTCTGAGGGAGAATTTGGGGGTGAGAAAATGTAGCTCACCATGGAAAGTCATTTGGGTCCCCAGGCAGCTGCCAGGGGACAGGACTAGTATTCGGAAGGCAAGCAGGAGTTTCCCAAGTGCTCCCTCTTTATTCATTTCTGTGAGGGCTGCCTTTAGCTCGCGGACCCGACCACGTGGCTCGTTTTGAAAAGGGCAGCCGTGTTCTGCTGCCGCTTCTGAGCTGCTTTGTTAGCTGGTACAAAACAACAGCCCTGCTCATTTTTTTTTCTAAGGTTGGAGGAAAAAGGGCTGGCTGAAGAGGGGGCTGGGAGAGGGAGAAGAAAGGAGGGACCAAGGACCTGAAGCGGGCCCTGTGGCCTCAGTCCTGCCGGGCACCCTGCCCTCCGAAGCCCATTACCGTCTCATCGTAGTTTAAGGCAGGATGGAATTCTATGGAGTAACTTCTGGAGATGCCCTTCCCAACCTCAGGCTGCTTCCAACAGAGAGGTGACCTAACTCTGTAAGCTAGGCAAGCCAGTCCTAGGGTGAGTCCACCAGGATAATGCCCGGATATCCTCACCCTGCCCAGTGCCAGCTTCGTCCCGAACTGAAGCCGAGGCCTCCCTAACTTGGGCCTGCTCTGTTTTGTGCATGGAGCCCGGCCGCCCATTTCATGGCCATAAACAGTAAAACCCTCCTCTGTTGAAAGTTACAGAAGATCACGGGGACCGGATTAAGGGAGAATAAAACGTTAGTAAGTCAGAGCATTCGGCTTTAATGAGAGGAGATCTAGAGAGGGAGGGAGGGAGGGATATGGGGAAATCAGGGGTAAGGGACAGGCAGGGTGTCTGGTTGGCTTTGGAAACTGTCGCGAGGAGTCATTCAGTCTCTGGGATGTCTTTCTCTAATTTCCAGTGGTAAAGTGTGACTTTGAAAGGATATCGGGAATCTGGGGGCTGTATGTGCCCCTCCCCCATTTCAGGGCCTCTGTGTAGGGGTCTGGCTGCCTTTGAGCTGGACTGCGCTGACCGAACTTGGTTGTGGTCAGAGTCTAGGAGGAAGTCCGGTGCTGCCAGCTCGGCACTGTAGCCTCTTCCCTAAAATTATATATAGCCTACTTATTTACAATATGGATTTGATGCTGATCCCCATTCATCCAACAGGATGTGTGTTGAATGGATCTAATCCATTATTTTAAAATGTGCTATCTGGTTTTTATGCCGTCAGTCTGGTTTTAGGGTAAACCGACGGGTTACTGATGGCCGGGTTTGCCTGAGCTGCGAATCTAGAATCTCTTTTATTGGCACCAGGGGATAGCTTAAAAAAAAAAAAAAGACTCCTAGGATTAAATATCACACATAGTGTCAGCACAAACACACAGTCAGGAGCGTCAAGACTGTTGTCAGGTCTTGTTGCCATGTTCCCAGGAGCTATGGCAATGCAATGCCACTGAGTTTTCAAAACTCAAGAAGAGTGCCAGCGGCACAGAAGGAAAAAGAAAGATGGTAGAGGTTAGCATTATTGTTCTCATCGTAGAAATAAGGACTTTTTCTTTTTGTATTTCTTAATACAAAAATCCTGTGCTTAATGTTAAGTTCAGGATCGTGTAGGGAGAACAGCAGAAATCATTGCGGACTGCTAACCTCAACCAGGCTTTTGTTTCACGTCCTTCCTTGCTCTGCCCATCCCGTTTCATTATAAGAGGCTTTCGCGAGAACATTCAAATCATTTATTTTGGAACGCTTAACTTCAGAAGACGTTTGCTGTGTCTCCTAACAGAAAATATAAACATTTTAGTATAGGAACAAATGGTGAACTTAAGACTGCGCTGCAGCAGGGGGGTCTGGCCAGAGAGAGCAGCCTGCGGAAGATCGTGCCACTGACTTTTAAAATAGGGGGAGAAAAAAAATCTGCTGACGCAGACCAGGTGCTTTCTAGATATTTTGTTCGAGTTGAAATTAGCTAGTCAAGGGGAGTAATTGGAATAACTTCTTTTCGATATCTAACGGTTTTCTTTCTTAAAAAAACAAACAAGAAAATAAACCCTCAGTTAACGGTGATAAACTCGCAGGAATGAGGCACCATCTAGCTACGGAAAAGAGACTTGTGTGGCTTTTAAGTTACTGGCATTTTTCCTATGATGTTAAAGAGTTTTTTGTTTTTTTTTTTTTTTTCTTAAATATGTTGCTTTCTCAAAACCTTCCATAACGTGATTTACTGGAGGTTTTACTTTTAAGTTAAGAAATGTTTTTAAAGAATCTGGGGGAATGCTTGCCACCGCTTTTGTTGCTGTAATACAAGAGAGTGAGACGGAGGCCGTTCTTAGAATAGGAAATTATCTCAGTTGCAGGAATGCTTATGTGGTGAGGACCCACCCCGGCCCGAAAATGTCACATTTGGTCACTCATAATCATTTGGAAATTTTTTGTCATTTATTAAAAACAAAGTCAGCCTTGACTAACATCTACTTGGCTGTTTATTATTTCTGTAGCAGCTTAGCTATTTTTCCATGTAACCAGGTTCTTTTCTTAATGGCTAGCGGCAAAGCGGGCATTATTTTTGATAGGAAGTATGTTCCTTTGATAACTTTGTTGTATGTGAACCTACCTGCTCCAAGCCGTTTGACTTTCGGTTTTAAGCAGCTCTGCCGTTTACAGTCTGCAGATTCCAGCTTTCCCTGTGGTCCTGCTCGCCAAGTAATCTTGCAGCGTTTGCCTTCGCTCTCTTATAAACAGTTTAGAGTCCTCCCTGCCTTCCTTCAGGCCTGCCGTAAAGCTCGAAGCAGGGAAGTCCCTATGAAGCTGTCCTTTCTCTTTGCCACCATCAAGAGGGAGTGGTAGACTCTGTGTGTCCCCCGTGAGCCACTAAAGCCAGGGCACCCACAGCAACTCTTCTAGGGGAACTGTATACCTGCTTTATTCTGGGGAGGTGGTTTTGTCCGCTTGAGAGTTTTACGATAGGTTTTGTTGTTCATATGCTTAGGCAAAGATGCTGCTTTTCGTTTAGAATATCTTGTAATGTGTTTGTTCCTTCATCCAGAGCACCCAAGCCTGGGCTAAGCCTTTATGAATCCTTTTATGAATCTGGATTTTTATGAATACGGATTTGATTACTAGAAAGAAGGGTTAAGATGGACCCTAAGGATTTTGAGTCCCTCTGTAAGGACTATCAAGGGAAAGAAGTTAATGTGGCAGAGAAGCTACAGGAAAACGATTTCTTCTGTAAATTTCTCAAGCCTCACAGGAAGCTTCGCATCTTACTCTCAGCTACCAAAATAACGTGTGTGGAAGATGCCACCGGAATGGAATACACGTAGCAGCCTGCGGCGGATGGCCCTTAGGGTGTGTGGTTATCAGACTTTGCCTTGGTTTAGAGATTATACCCTGTGTGTTGAGTTTGCAGATAGGGTTGGTGGAGGTTGGTTAGTCCTGCGTTTCCGCTGAGTCGGAGCCTGGCTAAACAGAAAGAGCCTCCCATCTCTGTGACTTGCTCTAAGTAATGGTCAACGTAGATTTGGGAACAAAACAGACATTTTCTTCCTAGTAAAAAAGAGGGGACAAGGCATGCTCTTTCTAGGCTCTGAACTAAGTAAGGCAGGCTCGGTCCTCAGACTACTGTACTCCTAGTCTCGGGTTAATCAGATTTGCAAGTCCGAGCTGTGGATGGTTTCTGTTGGAACACAAGCAGCTCAGCGTCCTGGCTGATAGCAACAACCCGAAGGCCTTCTCCTATCACCTGGGAAAGAGAAATCTTTCTAAAAGATGGCTCACCGCTTTCCTGCTCCCCAGCAGGTCTCGAGCTGCATCTGGCCGAGTCGGGCAATCCAATCTATTTTAAAGCAAAGATTTTCCGAGAAAGCAGGAAACCAGCAAGGGGAAGGCTTTCAGGCATCTGTTGTTTCATTTCCAGATCCCTTGTGTTAATTTAATGTTTCTAGGGAACCCGACTCTTTTCTTGGAATCTCTTCTCTAGGAACTGGTGTGCTGCGATAAGGGTAAGGCCAGGGGGCTGCAGCGGGAAACAGCGAACAGCGTCCAGGGTGCAGACTTTCCCGCCGCCGCGAAGGTGACAGCACACTTCAAGGAGTGTGTTTGTCCGTGTGCACTGAGTAGGAGAAGCAGATGTGAAGGAGTGTGTTTGTCCGTGTGCACTGAGTAGGAGAAGCAGATGTGAAGGAATGTGTTTGTCCGTGTGCACTGAGTAGGAGAAGCAGATGTGAAGGAATGTGTTTGTCCGTGTGCACTGAGTAGGAGAAGCAGATGTGAAGGAGTGTGTTTGTCCGTGTGCACTGAGTAGGAGAAGCAGATGTGAAGGAGTGTGTTTGTCCGTGTACACTGAGTAGGAGAAGCAGATGTGAAGCGACTGACATGCCCTCGCCCCATCAAAACCAGGGTAACTCGACTCTGTAGAGGAGGCAAAACCCAAGCCCTAGTGAAACGTGAGCCTTGCCCTTGCTTTGGGGGTACAGCAGTTTCTTCCAGCAGCCTCTGCAGCTTCGCTCAGCCAGCAGTCCCAGGTTGCCGCGAGTTTAAAGGATGGGATGAGTTTGTGTCCCTGCTTGCAGTCAGGTGTTCCCACCGATGTGCCCTGGGTCTCTCCAGCAGACCAACAGCCGCCCTGGCCTCTCCGGCCTCTCTTCTCCCACCACAGACCTGAAACTTCCCCCCAAACTTCATTTCTGCAAAGGAGTCCTGAACACAAAAGCCTGCCCTTAAAATATAGTCTCATTTTAGAATATTGCATGCTATTCCTGCGTAGACTCTTGCGACGCTGATAGTCCACGCTACCCCCAAAATCGTCCTGGGTACCTGATGCTAAAATAGAATGAGTTCACCGGGCTCTTCAATAGTAGAAACTGAACCACAGCTCCAGTAAGACTGGCGTTCTGTTAGTGAGCTGAAGCAAT